TCTACAAAGAGGAGAACTGACTGATACTTCAATACTAGTAAGTAAATCTGTGCTGGGCTGGGAAGAAATCCCTAAATGGATGGCCCTTGGGTGTCCCCTCCAACTCTAGGATTCTATGAAAATGTAGAATGTAGAATTATTATTATTATTATTATTAATAATAATAATAATAATAATAATAATAATAATAATTTATTTATATTCCTCCCTATCTCCCCAGAGGGACTCGGGGTGGATTCCAAACATATAAGGCAAACATTCAATGCCCAGATTGGTTTCTATTGGTTTCTATTGGTTAATATGAGAGACATTCAATTAGATAGCTGTTGTAACTTAAAAAAATGTTTTTGTCAAAACTTTTTAAAAAATCACTAAAATCAGATGTATGAATATTTCTGAAAGTTGGGGATAATCATTCCCTGTTATCTTGTGACATTGTATTTAAGGGATAGCTCCTATAGGTTTTTAAAAATATTATTTATAAAAACTTTGAAAATTTCCCAAAAATCTGTGGATATGTGAAATATTCTGAAACTTGATGGGCCAACAGTGGTAAATGTGTTCTACCATTGTAACATGTTTCACCCCAATAGCTGTAAAATTAGGGAGAAAGGGGCTCCTGAAGTTTTCACAGGTGTAGTAATTATGTGCAATTGCTATAATGAAAAAGTAACGAAATGTCATTCTCTGTAGTAATGAAATTTTCACTAACTCTACTTTAGAAACACTTCAGAAATGAAATGCCAGCACTCTCTAATTTTGTAATGACTTTTGAAACATTTTTTATCCATCATACATGCCTACATAACCTCTGTTCAATTCTTTCTTTTCTTCCTTTTTTCTTTTTTTTTCTTTTTCTCTACCTCTGGCTTTCTTAAATCTTTCTGCTTCTCCCCACCTAATCTGCAACCTGACTATTGTCTCCACACTGTCTCTAGCAGCTGTTCTACTTTTTAAAAAAATCAGCCAGAACCTACATACATATATAAGATTCCAGAACGCTTTATCTATTTTAATAGCAGCTGAAGTATCTAAGAGGCCCAGCTGTCTGCCACAATAGTTGTCTTCAAAGTAGCAGCTGGATGGAAGCTTTCTGTGCAGCTCCACTGTAGCCCATATACAGAGGAGGCTAATGGTCCAAGGGAGTATAGTGGAATTCTTACTATGTTTAATTTCATATGCTTGCATTCTCATATAACATTACTTGGCTCAAGGGCTCATATATTCCACAGGTAGAACATGGAATATACCCCTTCAATCAAGGAAGCATATGTGGAAGGGAGAAAAATAATCTCTATAAAAGCTGGCAATGACATGAAGCTGTTACACTGCCATTTCTTCACATTCTTACACTACAGAAAGTAAAATAGCACACACGTGCACACACATCACATAGTTTTTGAGCGAAGCTTTCTAATCTCATTCATATAACTTTTGCAGTCCTCTAAGAAAGCAAATAGCATCCTTGAAATCTGAAAATGTCCAAAGAACAGGGAACATAAACTTTTCTATGTCTTGTTCCATGCACACACAAAAAGGACAAAGACCCACCAATGCTCAGGGGAGATTCCTCTTTGTAAACCAAGCAAATAACTCCATCTCCTGATTTATTTCCATTATGAAAGGGTTTAATAGAGAATAACATAAGGTAGTCAACAGGAGATATATTAGCTGCATCAGATATTATTTGTGTGAAGTTTGAAAGAAAAAACTAATGTGAGGTTTGGTAGTTTTCTTGAAAAGTGCTTTATGCAAATATTCAGCAGGCCCCATAGATGGTGGAAAGACCTTGGTGGCAGCAGCATGCTTCCTAGGCAGGAGTTTGGGTGTGTGTGGGGGGGGGGGGGGCACAGAGCCTCTGACTGCTTTGTGGAGCCCTAATGGCTCCACAGAGCACAGTTTGAGAACCACTGGTATAACTCATTGCCAACCTTGCCACAAGGCAAAATGAGATGACCAACCCCAGTAACAAGTGCTAAGGAAAAAGCATGGTTCCCCTTCTCTTAGCTTTTACTGGAAGGCAAAGCTATATAAGCTACATGCATTTCTTGGATCCCAATTCTAGCTTTTGATTTCACAGCGTTGTTGCATTGCCAGTATTTATATAGTTTTGGAATCCATTATCCAGAATTCTAAAATAAAAAATACCATCAAAATCTGAAATTGGGTGGCTAAGATCATTGTTTTCCGATGGTTCAATATGCACAAACTTTGTTTCATTCACAAAATTATTAAAAATAATATCAAATTGCCTTCAGGCTATGTGTCTAAGGAGTATATGAAAACTAAATGATTTTTTTGTTTAAATTTGGGTTCCGTCCCCAAGATATCTCATTATGTACTTTTATGCAAATACAGCTATTCCAAAATTGAAATCCAAAAGTCAAAACACTTCTAGTCCCATGTATTTCAGATAAGGGATACCCAACCTGTATAAAAATTTGCATCTGTATAGCTGTTTGCATCTGCTATGCTGAATTGCTGGTTGAAGAAGAAGCTGCTGGGAACATGGCAAATAGCTAAAGAAAGAAATAGCTAAGCCAATGACTGAAAGTAACTCTTTTTAGCTCTCAAGTGAGCCTCTGGGGAGATTGATGCAAACATGACTATGCTAGACAATTGTGCTACAGATGACAGTGCACAGTTTTTGCCAAATTTATCACTACAAAGAAAAAGGGCCCTTTCACACCGTGCAATTATAACACTTTGCTTATGTTTTAACTTTCCTCGCTGTTTCCTGAAGTTGGTAGTTTAGTGAGACATTAGGGCTCTCTGGGGGGAACACTCCTTTTGTGAACTGTAAATCCCAGGATACCATAGGATACCACCATAGCAATTAAAGTGGAGCTACTGTCACTCCCCCCCTCCACACACACACACACACACACATTTGCAGTCTTGTGAATTTGATTTTTCATGTATTTGAACATTTGAATAAAAATGTTCTCTTAATGAATCTCCAGGTCCTCCAGTGTGGCTTCATCTTTAACTTCCTCCAGTCATGTTGGAGGACCTAGAGATTTATAAATATAACACCTCTTTAGGAATTTCTAGATATAATTCTAGAGTCATGCTAGAAATGACTAGAGGGTATTTTTTTCTCAGATACACGATATTATTTGTGGTTTTTCATTTTCAGGTCCTCTAACCACAGTGGATGTGGAGTGTTGTAGAGTACGAAAAGGTCCAAAGTGATAGTTCTGTGTCTCCTTGCCATCTTTTCCTCCATCACAAAGAAAAATGCCTTGTGTTGGATCTAAGCAAGGCATGTGTTTATCTACTTGATTTATATGCCACTATTCTCTCCACCTGGTCCGCAAAACAACTTATGATATTTTAATCAGCTATTTTGATTTTACAAATGTTAATAAATCAAGTAAAAAGCACATCTTTTAAAACAATTTGAAAAGAATCCATGTAAAAAAGAACATTTTTGAAACAATTTAAAAATAGAAGATAAAGAAAACACAGTACACAACTTTCAAACACCCTTTTGCCACATCATTTCAGAATCAAATCCTTGCATAAATTTTAAAAAAAAGTATTTGCCAGATTGTAAAAAGAGAGCAGAGGGGGCCAACCAGACCTTCTGTAGAGTGGAGTTTCACAACCTGAGTTCTGTCCAAGTAGATCATTATTTGGTGAATGTTTTCACAAAGAGTGTCAATGAGAGAAGAAGTAGTGTTTGGCAATGATCGACAATTTAGTGAAAATTTATGAACCGTTTCAACTCTGCACTATAATTAGCTCTGAATTGCTGTAACAGATGTTCACTTTGAATGGTGGGGGAAATAATAATAGAATACTAAGGCTGTATATGCACCCTATATATTCACATCTAAGTCTAGAACTTTCTTTTCAGGAGAACCTAAAAGGAAGCACCAACCCCCTCTACTCTCTTTGGCACCACTTCTGGCATGGATGGGAAAAACTGGTGACAGATAGGAGGAACTGCTAACCCAAGATGGCATTGATGCTTTCCCCTCTCCATGGAATGACCCTCAACTTATTCACAGGTAATATCAAAATCCACAATTTTAGCCAAAAAAAATATCTTCCATTGACTTATACGTAGTATCTACTTATACAAGACTATACATAGTACTTCTAGGACTTTTAAAAGAGCATTTGGACCATGATTGGCAAATTAAATATTGCCTAACGAAGGTATGTTGAAACTTTCATCACAACTACTTTTGCGGCCAGGCAGATAAAATTATCCCTCCACTTTGAGAGGTTTCATACTTCTGGTTTTGTTTATTTACAAGCTTTTACTGTTATACTTTTCTGCCAATGTTGGAGGCCATTGTGTAATCATTCACATGGAAGCCCTTTCATCAGGGCTTCCATGTGAAGTTCTGATAAGGTGAGGAGAGGCAAGGGATTGCTGGCCATGCCATGCTTAACTACCTAAGATGGGGCTGGCATGTGAATATTCACACATCAGCCCATCCATTAACTTATCCTGGGGATCTGGCTCCTTTTTCACTTCTTTTGTTCCATGAGTGTCTGTTTTGCCTGTGCAAAGGAAGGGAGGTACTGTGGAGAACAAAAACACACAACACACAAGAAGTGATACTGCAGGCATAGGTAAGGCCTATTCCTCTTCCTGTATTCTGTTTGTTTTGCCTGGTACTGCCCCTCCTTTAACCAAGTGAAAGCGACATACACAGCACACAGAAAGAGGAAAAGGTGACAGAAGCTACAGAGTACGTGAAGTCCCTCACAAGATTGGCTCCTTCTCCTCTTCCCACTGGGACCAAGGCATATATTTCCCACCATACCTCCCACATTTGGGAGTCTTCCATCTTTGCAGTGGAACTGGACCAATAACCCTTGCAAAAGTGAAATGACAACTGTAGAACAATGAAGGAAGTACACTGAAATCAATGTGAAAACCATAAAAGTGTGCCATCATAAATAGAAGTTAAGATGGCTGCTGCCCTTTTATTTTTTGAAATAAAAAAAACTCTCTGACTGCTGATCATTATGACTTTTACCTTTCCAAACTTGTTCACCTCAATGCAATTTTCTTTAAATTTTTCCTGTAAAGTTTCTGCTAGTCGACAGAGCAAGGCACCATTATCCAGTTTCTCCATGAAGGTTTCAGCTGTTATTTCCTTTCCTGAAATGAAATTAAGATAGTAGCAATCATCATCAGATCTGAATAATCCTCATTCTATGAGGAAATTTTGTTGTGCTGTAAATCTAAGTCTTTAACAAACTGTGGTTGCTTCTTGTTAAAGAACATTATCAATGCACATTCTTCTTAAAAAACAAACCAAGGAGTCATTGGTTAAGAAAAAAAATATAGCCACAGCTTAAAGCTAGAAAAATATTATTTGTATTGTGGTTTCCTTCTTTTTGTACAAGATAGGATAAGCCTCAAGTGTGTTTCTCCACACTTCCCTTTCTTTTTCGATTGTGTCTGCAAGGAAAAGATCAATTTTGCTTCTAGTTCTAAACAAACCACTGTTCCTTAGAAATTATTTATTCAATTGCTTAAAGTATTTAAGATACTTTTGGGTATACCATAGTGAGCATGACCACAAGTGCAGAAAGCATGAAATGCAATAAAACACAATCTTCATAAAATATACCAGGGTAGAAATGTTTTAACTTGGAGGCATTTCACACTACACAGTTATAGAAATATCGTACATTTCATATGATGTTGCATAGTTTCACATTTTAACATCCTGTGGAATCCTGGGATTTGCAGTTCAAAGAGAGGTCCTTAGAATTCTCTGCCAGAATTCTAGCATGTCACCAAATTACAAACTACAGGATATTGCAGGATTCAGTAGGGGTGTGGGAAACAGCACAAAATCTGTTGTGTTTTGGTTCTATTTTTGTTCTGGTTCTGTTCCCCTCCCCCTCCCCCTGGTTCTGTTTTTGGGACAATTCTTTCCAAAACAGAAATGGAACTCAGGGTATCAAATTATGAATCTGGACAGCCCCCCTCCTACTCTCCCAGAATCTCCCTGAAATTCAAAAATAGAACAAAAACAGAATGGATTTGCACAGCCCTAGGATTCAACCACTTAAAAATGGAATACCAATCACTCTGTAGTGTGAAACCAGTCCTTGGTGCTAAAAAGACTGAAACACTGACATCAATAACAGCATGATATATTTTGTTTTGTTAATTTTCACTTATAACACATTAAGAGTATACTTTGAGAAATGTCTTTCTGTAGAATTTCAGTAGTGAGAGACAGAGATGTGTCCTTTAGATATTTTGATCCTAAACCATTTGTATTTTCAAGGCAAGTTGCAGAATCTTGTATTGTGCTTGAAGGCAGACTGGTAGCAACTGAAGGATTACCGTAATATGATTACAACTAGCTATACTAGTCAAGATTCCAGCGGCTGCATTCTCCAGCATGTCTTCAAACTCTACAATACAAGGTGTAAATCTTCATGTTCTTGTCCTCACAGGCAAGAATGAATAATTTTTCCAACCCTTTCCCTACTGAATGAGAAGATAAAGATTTCTGTGCAGTTCCTAATTGCAATATGTCCTTGAAGAAGTTGCTTGGGGAATTGTTTTGCAAAGAAAGACATGTTTCCTACACAAGGAACAGTACTTGAAATATTCTTTCAAGTTGTGCTACAGTATAATCAGGAGGTTATAAGTGCATCTGCCACTAAGGTCATTTTGTCTCTGTTCAAGAAAAAAAATGTAATAATGGAACTGAGTCATTCAGCCGTGAAGGTTGCCAATGGGTCAAGTAACACTGCCAAGCTATGTACCTCTTCCATCATAGTAATCCCATCCATCAGCATAAAGTGGATTTAAAACAGGGATTGACACTGTATAATCTAGGGATCACATGGTACGCATCAAGACTTTTTGATGGTTACCAAAATTACCCAAATCTTCTTTGGGCCACATTTTTCAGGCAAAATGGTGAAGTGCTTTTCTCAGGAGTTACCAAGATGGGAAATTATTCCTGAAATAGCTAATCAGATCCTTCTACAATGCTTAACATTAAAAAGCACCTATTCTTCACAATAATAACTGTACTTTTTGGACACATCTGGTTCAGTTTAGCTTTTTTCCCATTTTCTGGCAGACTATGCAGTTCCCAAGGGCAGAAGGAGCAGAAAATTGGCTCACAGACCTGCTAAAGCCGCCCACACCAGCTTTAAACTACGGTTAATGAAATAACAATCCAGAACCCTAACAGTGGTTTCAGATTCTGGCTTCTGAAAACATTATTCAAACAAACCACAGTTCATTTCATGCAGACATTATGGGGAACTGTGGATAGTTTAAAAACAGAAAACAAATTATTTCATCTAGTCTCTTGATGGGCAAAAGAGGATGTGAGGCACGGAAAACATACGAGCTAAATCTTATTGCAGCTCATATATGTAGCATGAAGTCACTGTTTCTAGTTATGTCTAAACAAAAACACCACAAAGAAATATCAATTCATAATGAAATGTTGCATTCTCAATCTGATGCACAAAAACAGAAATGAGGAAAATGAAAAACTATTAGCATGATGAAAAAAAATCAAATGGGTTTGGCTAGAGAAAGAATATGAACCAAAACAAACTGTAGGTCTTACAAAAGATGTTTTCTTGCCAATTCTGGATGATTCAAATACTGTGACTTGTTACCATAACTTTTCACTTACATAGTGCATAGGGATGCAAATCTTGGCTTATTTCATTCTCACATGTAAGAAAAGAAAGTTTCAGAAATGTTGTCTCTGCAGGACAGTTTTTGTACTTCTTCCACTATTGTTTTTACACTATGGGCATATTATCATTCCAAAATTGTTTGTGCAAAAAGGGGTTTTTTTTGGTTTTTTTTTTAACCCAGCGCCCAACAACTGCCATTCTGTCAGTAACATCCTCAGATAGACATCCAATTTATGCCTACATATGTTTCTTTTTTTAGCCATCATTGAGAGAGAAAAGCACAATCTCCCTCTTTGCAAAAAACGTTTACCCAAGATGCACTGTTTCTGTATGCTAACCATAGCCAGAAAATACATAGGCCGGGGGGGGGGGGGAGCAAAACTTTTTTTTTAGCAAATCATAAAGAGTAGGCTCATAATACAAAATAATTTAAATTCAATTGCTCATTATATATTTTGTATATAGACTTAATTAAATCAAATTTCTATTTTAGATACAAAGTTTCAAGTCTAAAAAACTTAATATGACTCTTAATTGGTAATTTAGTGGTTACAAAAAGAATAACACAACACCTCTTGGAAACACTTGAAAACTGTGTCAATACACTTTGACAGAAAATAGGCTCCATCAATAAACTTCGGTGAACACTCCAGAGTGCAAGTTCAGTCAATCTTTCTTGCCCCAGTGTGCTTCTTATGTATATTTTCAACCATTTCAGAGTTGAAAACAACCTTTCATTTGTAGCTGTTGACACTGACAATGTTGTAGAAATCTGAAGAAGTTTCTTCACATTTGGAAAAAGAAACTGTTTATCACAGACAAGATATGCTTCCAGTGGATTTGGTAGTTTTTACGTAGATGTAATCTTTTTGCTTTTTCTATACCACAGGTCAGACTCTTCCTTCAGTGAGTCAGTATCTTGAAGGCATTCATTGTAAAGTTCTGCGCATTTGTTCACTTTGTATTTCAAAAGGCCACAATTAATAGGGAGGAACAGTTGCAGTTCCTAAACTACTTTCCTAGAAGCCCCCAGTAACACAATGGGTTAAACCCTTGTGTCAGCAGGATTGAAGACCGACAGGTCAGAGGTTTGAATCCAGGGAGAGTGCAGATGAACTCCCTCTGTCAGCTCCAGCTTCCCATGCGGAGACATGAGAGAAGCCTCCCACAAGGATGGTAAAACATCAAAATGTCTAGGTGTCCCCTGGGCAACATCCTTGCAGATGGCCAATTCTCTCACACCAGAAGCAAGTTGCATTTTCTCAAGTCATTCCTGATGTGAAAACAAAAACAAACCACTTCCCTGTGCCTTGTAAACCTTTCTTTAGGCAGACTGCAGATAATGAGCTGGTTGATAGGAGACTCAGTTTTTGTAAACTTTGTGCTGCTCAACAGAATCTCCGAAGGTAACAATGCTTGTTAGAGGAGAGAACTATATCAAGAAGTCATGGGAGAAGGCATGATTTCATGTGTATATAAGAGAGCTGGGGGGGGGGGGGTCCAGCCAGTCTGGTCAACATTGGCAATGGAGGCAACAGCTCTTGCCAAGTACTAGTCAAGCTTTCTGAGGGAATTCTAGTTCCATGTCTTTGCTCCTGTTTCATGTTTCCAAATTTGATGCATTGCATTGGATTCTATGCTGCCTTATACATTCTGTTTTTCTTGTATTCCTGTTCTGGATGTCCTGTTACTTTGGAATTTTGGAGTACTCTTGTACCTTGAATCTTGTGGACTATTTTATACGTATAGACATTGAATTTATTTACTATTTTTGCTACAATGCTTTTTATATAATTATTAATAAACTTATTTGCTGATTTAACTTGGATTGGGGAGTGGTGGTTAAGTACAGAGGTGTTCCTGGCCTGGAGTGCAACACAGACTACAGAAAATGTCCATATCTATTCTTTGTGATGTTTTCCTAAACTGAAGGAATGATGAAAGAAGCTTTCTTAGGATGTGCATGGTTACTGCAAATTCAGCCTTCAAAACAGCTAAAACAATGTGTCCAGCTTGAGAAGAAATCTCACTGTTGCATAGATGACTCTTCTTTAGTTCTTCAAGTGTTCTCACCACCACAACTATACATTTCTTCAAAACCTAAAACTGCATCATGTCAGTCAACCCAACGGGTTTCACAAAGTGGCAACAGGTTGTTTGTTCTTGCTTCAGAGATTTTTCTTAAATAGTTCCAGTCTGATAGATGATGCTCCAAAGAAATTGCACACACATGATATTATTCCTTGGCAGTTTCTAACAGGTGTAATGTGCTGTCTTCATGCTGAAAATGTTGATTAAGCATCCATAGCGTCAAAACCTGGTTGCTTCCACTATGTCGGCTGTTGCTGCTATTGCAATGTAAATTTGTGGAAAGATAGGTAATGATAGTGTTAACAAATTATCAAAATTTTGTTGAGATAGTCCTTGCAGTTTTGGAGGAACACTAAGATTTGCTTCCCATAGACTCAG